CTAGCGCGATCTGATCAGCGATTTTAAATGAACCAAAGCGAAATTCACATATTTTTTAAAACGCATATTTAAGCAAGCACAAATATTGCAAGTTCCAAAGCAAATTCTTATATAAGTTGTTTAAAAAGTAACATTTCTATGGACAATGAATAAAGCGACAAACATTTTCATGCAAATGAGTCAATTGATTAAAATTAACAAACATTTGAACTGTCCACCTTTCGAATCTAGACAATTCACACTGTCCGGATCTAGAGAAATAAAAACCAGCGACTTCGCTGCATGAAAGTACATGAAAGAAGAACTATAATTACGCCAATATAATAAAAAAATTGCAGTCATTATTTTGTTGTTTTTTTGCCTAATCAGCGATTGGCAAAATTTCTTATTTTTTTGGCTTCTGCTAAAACCATCACGCATCAATCTCCTATTGTTATCTTCAGGTTTCTATCTTTAGTTTCCGGAGTTTTACACCTTCCCTCTTCTGTTCTAATGTCTCAACTTATTACTAACTATACTTATCTTATTCCAGGCTCTATTTTCCCAGTATTTTCACATTAATATATACTTATATCCTCTGCTTTTCTGGTATGTTTTAATTAGGCCTGGGTAATACTGTGTTGAGTTGAGCTTTTGAGTTAATGAGTTTTAACTCATTGGTTAATGAGTTATAACTCATGGCCGATGACGGAATTTTAACATATAACAAAAAAAAGCCATCAATATATTGCTTTTGCGCTTACGATTGCTTGAAACTATTTGATCTAAAACGGGGAAAAATTCGGAAATTTTGAAGAAACTTTAAAAAATTTCAGAGCGATGAGGGTGACGAGTTTTCCAAATATTGATTATACGCTTTTGCTTTCTCTGGTCGATTTTTGAGGAAACCTAAATTTTGTCGAAAAAACACAAGATAACTTTGTTTCGATTTTGTCCCTAATTCAAAGGTAAACGGGTATTCGAAAAAGACGATAAAGAAGACCAAACTATTCCTACAGACGATGACTTTTCTTGTAAAATCCATCTTTTAACTTTTTTGCATAAAAGGCTCTCACTTTAGAAATATTGACGAATAATTGAATATAAACTTTCACTTGTTCTGTTCGGGGAAATATTTTTGGGAAAAAATTTAGAAAAAAATATTAGAGTTTTGTCTAAATTCGAAGCTGCAAAAATTTCCGAAAAAAATTTACAAAGCTGTTCAGGAGCCGAGTATTCCAATCAAATGTATTTTATAATTTTCACAGAAAATACCTGAAGATTGTCAGCATCTTAAGTAAAACTAAAAATGATACGTTTTTGCGTAGCAAGAATTGTTTAATAGAAACTTTGCCAAAACTGGAATGACCTGAAGTTTTAAAGAAACTTGAAAAATCTTCAGAGCGATGAGGTTCGCGAATCTTCTACAAAATTTTTTGTTAACTTTTGCTCTCTGGCCGTATTTTTTCAAGATAATCTTCCTTGCTTTCGGTAAAAAACTGAATAAAATCATTTGATTTTTGTGTCAAATTCAAAGCTGAAAAGGGTTTTCTAAAGTTCTCTGCAAATCTATGAATGAGGCGAATTTTCCAGCAAAATCGTTATTGTCATTTTTGGCTGCAAAGACCACACTATTGCCAGAAAAGATGAAAATGATCAGTAAAGTATTTTTTTTTGAGTTTTTGATTAAACACTTTTAGTTTTGTGATCGAGTTTTTGTGAAAACCTTAATAGTTCTCGGGGAAAAACGGTATAAATTTATTTTCGTTTTTGTGTCGAATTCGACTCCGAAAAAAGTTTTTGTAAAATTTCTACAAAGCTATAATAGATATATCTTGAATTTTTTCGCGTTAAATACATCCAGATTGTCCGTATTTTTAAGTAAAACTCTACAAAATACATCGCTTTTGAGTAGAAAGCAAAAACGATCTTGAAGAGTATTAGTTGACGAAAAACAAATTATTCTAGTTCTCCATGCACAGTTGGCTGGTTTTACTTCTTTGTTCGGTAATCCATGTTTTTCTTCCTTCGTGTGCAACTGTTCATTTTCAATCTCATTTTGTTTCACTACCCGTTGACTTTCAAAAAAAAAAAATTCTAACCATAATAAAGTGAGTTCAGGATCCTTCCTTTCACTGATTAAACGATCGATGATGATTAAACGATCGAACATTTCCCACTAAATGCGAAATCACTTAGATTCACTCGCAAACCTAAAAACTGGCCACCAAAAACCACTTAACGTTACAGGGTTTATTTACAAAACAGAAACACAATTTAGTGAACAATTAGTGAACTTTGCCAAGGGACAGTGTGTTTTAAGCTTCAAGCAGCACGCACCAAAAAACGATCTTGATGATTAGTATTTGATTAACAACAAATTATTCTAGTTCTCCATGCACAGTTTGCCCGTTTTGTTTCTTTTTTCGTTAATCCATGTTTCTATTCGTTCATGTGCAACTGTTCATTTTCAACCGCATTTCGTTTCATTACCACCTGATTTTCCAAACAAAAATTTCAAACTAAAGTGAGTTCAAGAGCCCTGCTTTTACCGATTAAACGATCGACGATCGTTGGATGTCCCACTAAAGGCGAAATCACTTAGATGCACTCGCAACCCTAAAGACTGGCCACCAAAAACCACTCAACGTCCCATTGTTACAGGGTGTATTTACAAAACAGAAACACAATTTAATCGAGGGGGGTTGCAAGCAGTTTCGTGCCCTATCGCAATATTTCCGCCACCACTCTCTCACTAAATCATCCCTAATCGAGTTTACAGCACTGTCTGCTGTTAAGCTTCCCAAATAATTCATAGAGCGAAAACCGCGTCCGAAAAAGGGGGCTGGATCCTAATGGTTTGCTTCCATGAAAGTCGAAAAATTTGCTTCATTTAGGTGAAAGTTTGCATGATCGAACGAAACGAATAAGAAGGCTGATTTAGGCGAAGAACAAACAAACAAACAAACAAACAAAACAAGAAAACCGAACTACGTCTGTTTTAAAGCCGAGGTTATAAAAGAATGCCTTAAGGTTCTTCTTGGTCGTTTTTTGTGCGGCCAAAGGCATAAAACAATGGGTCGGTATAGAATATCAAGTGTTATCGGAGCATTCCGATCGGAACGGGGTCCACATAAACAAACTGTCACTGTGACAGGCGGCGTTTCTTATAAATTACGACCGGTCATGTGAACGTTTATTCGGTCCACTCGTTAAAATTTACTTATCCAAAATCTTTGGCATTTCTCAACTCGGAGAATAATTAAATTTATAAATATCTTCTTCGTGCTCGTCAACGGAAATAATGGCCGATCGGTCGCTGAGATTTAATCGATACGACTATTAATCAAATTAATTAACATTGGGGCTCTTGCACACATCACTTATCTTCAATCGACCAACAACATTCCTCAAAACCGTTCGTCTGGAAATGTTAGATTTTTCATGATTTTCCTTATAGTAAGTGCAGATCTCGGGACCTGCCAATCTCAGGCACCCCTGGAGATGAATTCCTGGGCCTATTCTGCCCTG